AATTGTAAGCTTCCAAGAGTCATTGACTGAGATGGCCAGCCATAGAAATTGAACAAACAAACAGACAAATAAAGGCCCTTCATGTTTCTTCCTTTTATTAATTTCCAATAGAATAAAATTGAGATGGAAACCACCAAATATATATTTGGGCTGGTGAAGTAAAATTCCACTCTGCTCCCCAAGATATTTGTTAATTCTGTTTCTATCACCTAGCCAGGCAAACTGTGCACTTGTTTTACTACAATATAAAAAGTTTCTTTTTAAATCCCTGAACAAAATCTCAAGAGAGTTATTAAGGATGGAAATATCAAAAAACCCTAAACTGATTCAGAAGCAAAAGTTAAACATTTATTGCTTATTCACATTAAAAAAATAACATCATCTTCTTTCTATCAGAGTTTTCAAATATAATAAAATTTGTTTGCTACATATATATTCTGCTTTTCTTCTAGGAACTGAAAAAGATGCATATGTCCTCCTCCAACTTTTCTCACAACTGTCCATGAAGTACCTCAATACACAGAGGTGATACTTTATGAGGGAGGGTTGACTATTATAATTCCTTGAAAAAGTTGCTGGGTATGGCCTTGGCAATTATAGAGCAAATTGTTTGTTGAGTATTGTAAGCCAAGTCTAATCAGGCACTTAACAATGAAAAACATTGGATTGGACAAAAAAAAAGAGTTTAGGGAAGAACATTCCCCTATATATTTTAATATCTAATTGATAAATATTTATCAGTGTTGCAATCTTGTCCTTGTGCTTTTATTTATCAACAGATTAAAACTATACCTATGTAAGAATTAAATGCAGTTTGAATGGAATACTTTCTGATGCAATACCTAGTACAAGTACTTAGTGTAAGACAAGACTGTGTTTTGGTTGCTTTAATCTCTATATCAACATCTTATCCAAAAACTTAAATACAGTGCAGAAACATCCACCTAGATTATCTAATTTAACCATTCTGGTATTATCGTACATTGATTATGCAGTCCCGCTCTCAACAACCTTATTTGGTACTAAAGGCATTAGCCTGTAATTGTAGCAAGGATAATTTATTCATTAAGTACCAAAAGATCAAAATAATGGCCAAAACACTGAAGCTGCACCATTGAATTGTCCACTTTCAATAGACAGAGCAAGTTAAATGCTTCAGTTAACTGAAAATATATATCTATTTTCCCCATACTCAATGGCTTACGTAGCTTGGCCTTGGCTGCCATCAAATTGTTCCAGTTGAAATCACTGGCACAGTTTGTTTATAATCTGCTGTGACACATACTCTAATTACATAACACTCATATTAATACAAACTAGGTTTCTCAGGGCAATGGTGCAGCTTCTGAGGTATGTACCAGGTGCAGTTTTATGATTAGAGGCTGTAACCAGAATTTGGTTGCAGTTACTAATTATTGGTGCGTATATGAACACCTTATCCAAAATATGGCGAAATTGTGTGTAACAGCTTGCCACACGAGAGAGCAAATAACAGTTATAGTAGCTGCCATAATTTAATGTAAGTGAAGTTTGTTAGAGTTTTTAATAGGTATATATTAATTAGCCATAAGGGTTATTATTCTCTGTAATCAACCGTAATAGGGTTGGCCTTTGTTTGTCATAAAATCTTCTACTTGATCGATGGGTTAGAATGGATCAAGATAGAAGACTGGCACAAAGTCATCAAGTGAACTTCCGTAGCCAAAAGTGGTTCTATGAACATTTGCATAATTCTGTTAGTTTTTAAAATGTATACCTTATTCAATATGCAATAGGGTATATAGATAGGAAATGAATTCATGTGATAAGAGGTTCAAAATGTAAGACAACAAAATAAAAAAAAAAAGGATGGTGTGGTATACAAATGGGGATTATATAATTTCAAGATTGCACTGAAAAAAAAATTCCATTCATTATATACCAGTTATGTCTAAGCCAATATATCCCAGATCAGGGGGAGGAAAGCAGGTCAGAGCTTCTATTTTACATAATAGCGCATTGACTTGCAGGTGATTTTTTTTCCCATGAGGGCCTGCTTCTAAGTGAATGCTTCCCCCATGAACCTCCAGGTGACCCAGGTTTGCAAGTAAAAACTGTGTCACTTCAATAGGCATGTTGGAATCAACTTTTTATCATCAAAATCTTTGGCCTGATTAGCTCAGTAAAGATTGGTTGTTTTCTTGATATTACAAACAATGCTTTCTCAACCAGGAGAAAGCATCATTGAGATCTATTTCCTTTCAGGTTTCTATGCCTTAAATCCCACTTGGAACCATTTTAGACCTGTTCCTCCTCCTGGCTACCTTAAAAAAAAACACCATCTAAAATTTCTTGTTCAAGACACACTACTTCCCATTATTTTGCAATGTGAATCATTGAATCATATGGATATCTCCTTGTATGTAAAGCAGCATCCATTGATTCAGGCTTTAAGGCCGGATATGAGGAAAAACAAAGCCCATTCATACCAAATATATATATATATTTATTTATTGGGAAGAGGCTGGCATATTTAGCAATTCATATTCATAATTACCTCTCCCATTTCCTGAGATCAGTAGTAGATGCTGGAAGAGGAAGATGCGGGCTACAAAGGATTCCTAAACTGGTTTGGGGATTTAAAATTACAGCCAGGAGGGAGGAAGAAAGGGCTGAGGCACTGGTAAATTTCCAGAGACTCCTGCATAGAAGAATGGGAGAAAGGAGGGGTTTAGGGTTTCTGACGCATTATGAAAGGAAGATGAGAGGAAGTGCCTTGATATATTTCTACTAATTGACAGAAAAAGAGCTCTAATAGAGGTAGAAGAAAGGAATAAATAAAGCTGGGGACCCGATTTACCTACTGCCACTTAAGATTACATGAAACCCTTGACTGTAAATCAGAAAATCTAGGGTACATATAACCAATTATATGGTTTGCCTGCAGTGAGCATCTCAATGCCAATCTATGGTTGAGACACGTGGCTACTATAGGTTTCCAATTAGAAGCAACTATGATTCTCAGGTAACAATTACTTGAATAATTCTCAAATATATTTATTTATAAATGCCAAAATTTAATTTAATTATATGAAAAGCTGTTAAGTACCCTTGCTATTTTTGTACCGATTAATAATGTTTTCAGTTTCTGCAAAATACTAAACTGTGGTTGGTTTAATTCTTCATTGTAATAAAGGGCAAATAAATAACTTCTCTAATGCTTATTTCACATAGCAGATAAAATTCAGAGGATTTAAATGATTCAACTAACAAACATAATTTTCTAGAATTATAAAAATGGTTCCGGAGTTTTTTGTTTTTGTTTTTTTAAAAGCAATTATTGCCAGAAACAAGAAATGAAAATGAAATTATTTATATCACATTTGCTAATGCATAAATAAAAATTTAAGAAGATGAATGTTGAGAAAGATGGGCTCATTCTAAATAACTGATGCCTTGAAGCATTGTCTAACAAATATCTTTCAAGCAGAGTTACTTGGTTTGGTTAAATATTTTATTCCTTAAATTTGATTTGCCTGGCTTGGTTATTGCTTGTAGGGATACGCCATCTAATGATAGAGCTATTCACCAAAATTCAGGCAACTGGCAAATCCAGATCTGAATATTATGGAGCCTGGAGCAGAATAGGGCCAATCTAGTTAATCTTGAGTAGGTTTGAACTTTCACAAACCTTCTGTCTCACTCAATTTCAGGAGATGAGGACAGCAAAATTATTTTCTTAGTAAAATAGTCTGGGGGATGGAAGAAGAATGATGAAGATACTATTGGATTTCATTGCCTGGAAGTGATTTTTTAAAAGTCAGAATGCTCTTAGTGATCAGGTAATCCCAAAGGGATAAAAGAACTGAATTCAATTTTTAAAAATTGCTCAGGATTTAGACATCACATTGGAAGAAAGAATCTGTAGCTTGGGTCCCAAGCAACAAACTGGGCCATTTCTGGTCTCTACTCTTGAACCAAATACAGTGGCATATTAATCACTAATTTTTATTAGTGGATATTTTAAAACGTAATCACAGTCAAAAATAGCATATTTAATGGCATAAATTTGACTGGCCTTATTTTTTTTTATAACATATATATAAGACATGCTTGAAAGTTGTATTTGGGTTATATAATGCATACTACAAAGTTTACATGATAAAAAGTCTAAAATGTGAATACCTCTGTTAACTAAGAGGGAGTGGCTTCTGCAATGTATAATACTTTCTAGCAATTTATATGGTATTAAATGCTTAGATTGTGTTTTGGTGTACATCGCAGATACGTTTCAGATCAATTCAGCTGAGACAGGTGTTAAACTTCCACTTGAAAAAGATATAAAGATTTCTAAATAAAAATATTATATCCTGAATAGAAGTGCTTGCAGTGGCTTTCCTTCCTTCTGTAAATGTTCACTCATTAATGTCCTCAAGCTTTTTAATAGTTACTGGTATTTCTATTGGCAGTTGAACTGGAATAAGATCCAGTGCAACAGAAACCTAAACTTGTAGAGGAAAAACAGCAGTCCTGAACAAATTTAAAATATTTGTTGACATTTTTCAGGGTTAGGGTTAGTCCTACCTTGGAAATGCTACAGATTAAAATATCACTATAAAAAAGGATGCATAAAATATATACAGACTTAAAAGAACAAACCTGGTTTATGAGAAACTTTCCATATTTGGACTTTAAAAATTAATTCATAAAACCTTAAGGAGAAATGATGGGCAAGCACCTATTCCTGCTTCTAATGTAAGGATTCAAATAATCAGCTTAAATTAAAACTGTAGCCTATGGTTTTGCTGCTGCATTTAAGATCAAGCTTTTGTTCCTGCAGTAAAAGCCATTAAAAAAACCATGCATATTTTGTTTCTAAAGTTTTTTGGGGGGTCTTTTGATACTTGCTCGTGATAATAATCTGTGTTTTTTTCAAAACTTGAAAAATGTCATCTTCTGAATGGGAAAAAGACAACAAAAGCCTGAAATCACAGGAAAAGTAATAGAGAGATCCAGCTCACCTTGAAGCCCATTTCCATTTGCGCTGGTGCAAGATGGCGGAGGAGAAGCTTGGGGCCTGACCACAGGAGCAAAGGCGCTCTTTTGTTTCACTGCAGAGATGACATTGGCAGGTGAGAATGAGAAAATGCCGTGTGTACTGCTACAGTTTGAAGGAAGGGTGACCGAAGAGGCTGCCATGGTAGGGCTTGACGGCACTACTGCAATAAAGCAAAAATAATCAGGACTCATATTGAGGATGTTTATGGCAAACAGGAAGGGAAGGGGGAAAAAAAGATGTATCGTAGAGCCTTGCCTCCTTATGGGAAGGATAATAACATATATAAAAATAAAATGCTTTGGCTTGCCACGCTCTGGATAACAGGCAAACTCTTTTGTCTTGGACTTCGATTATAAATTGAACAGTCCAATCTGGTACTTACTTTTTCCTCTTTTAACATTAATTTTGTTTTTTTGAAAGTACCAATATATTGTCTGTGATCTTTTTCCTTTTCTTTTTTAAACTGTCCAGCCTCCAGAGTCACCCCTCCTTTTATCCAGTAGCTTATGTCGAAGGAAATTACAACAAAGTAAGTTCTTAACAAACAGGAATGATGTGACGATGTGCCTTAGAAAGAAAGACTTACTGCCGTAAGGGGAGTTCGCAGTCGAGCCATTAAGAAATCCAGGGGAACCAGGTACACCAAGGTTGGGCATGCTGGCATTGCCATATCCATTCATACTATTGCTGACTGTATTGTAATTGGACTGTTGAGGAGTACTGCTTGGGACGTATCCTCGCGGGGAAACACTGCTTGTGTTGCGACTGTAACCTACTGAATTGGGAGGAAAACCCCATCCCAAGAAAAGGATTATTATTATTATGGGGCATGAAGAGTTTACAACAACATCATAGATTGCACAGCTAAATGTCCATGGAGATTCTCAATCATCCATGCCATGGCTGTCCCATAGGGGTCTAGGATAACTCTCTGAGGTCAACTTGCTGCAGCCAACTCACCACAGCCAACTCGTCCTAACAAGCTTGCCATGGCCAACTCATTGTAGGCCAACTCGCCACAGGAAAAGAATTATACTAGTATCACAGAAATGGTGGGATAGAAACATTAAAGAAAGGATGCCAAAATGAGGGACAAAATGAAATGTGAATGACAAAAATTAAAATATTGTTTAAATTACTTTAAATAGTTAAATTGAATTATTGAATTGTCCTGCAGCAGGTTGTCATGCAGTGAATTGGCGATGATGAGTTGTCCCATGGCAAGTTCAGCATGGCAGGTTGGCCATAGTGAGTTGGGGGTGGTGACTTAGTCATGGCAAGTTGTTCCCTTCTGGTCCCAATCAGTGCTTTTCCAAAAGGCAACTGGACTTGGTTTTTCTTCTTGAAAATGTTTTGCTTCTCATTCAAGAAGCTGAACTGAGGAAGTTTCTTGGATGAGAAGTAAAATGGTTTCAAGGAAAAAAAAAACCCAAGAAAGTCCAGATGCCTTTTAGAAAAGCACCTTTGGGACACAGATGGCAGACTTTTGACTGATCGCACAGTGTTGGCTTATGTCATTTGCTCTTTCATCTCTTTGTATGGAAAGGTCGTTTTTTTCACACCTTCTCTGCTTAAACTATCTGTGATCACCCTGAATTGTTCCTACTTCTGGCAAACACATTTTTTTCAATGTGGTTGTGTTAATTTCATTCAAATTTATCAATAATTCTCATAATTTAAATGGCTGGGTTGCATCACCAATCTAAGCTTTCTCTTTTAAAGTTTTCAGATCACATATTTTGCAAAAGTAGTTATAAAGTCATGTAGCTTTCCACAGAGATATAAAAAAACTGTTTCGAAGAAAATGTTCCTTCTTAACATGGATAATTTCCTATTAGAAATAAGAAAATACTTACTCTATTTATCCTGCTTTAACAAACATTGAACAAATATAACAAATATCTATGCTTCAGTGTAGGGAACACATTTTTGATAGCAACATGACTCAAGTAAGCTTTGTTAAATTGTAAAAGAATATATTTGAAAATCCCATGAAAAAGATGCTGGGGAATGTATTATAGAAATTATATGCAATCCAATCCATGTCTATGTGAAAGTAAATCAGAAGGATTTATTCCATATTCTATTGTTAGGATTGTAGCCACAATTAATTGATTCAGTGTATTTGGCTACAAATCGTTGTTTTAGTACATAGTCAATGGCTATGTCCATATTGAGCATCAACCTAGAATTTAGTGTTACAAGAATTTATCTTCTGCAAATTCGTGTAATTCCTTCCAGCCTAGGCACAAGAAAGAAGCTTCTGCTTCTGTTTCAGATTAATCACAGTATCAAGTGACCATGTTATTCTTGCTTATTTATATGTGTCAAAATAAGATAAAATAATTGCTTTAGATTTAGAAAACAAAGAAAGCGCTTATCATTGAAATATGGAAATAAAATTGTTCAAATTCCTTCACCCAAGTACTTTTGATATACTCAAGGGAGGCTAGCTTATTTTGACACTATTAACCCATAGTATAAGCAGCATGTTGAAACCAGATGGAAATTATGCATTTCCATAACCTTAATATATTTTGGTATTAGCAAAATAAATTTACTGAAGCATGTTTAGTCAAATATGTCAAATTTAGTAGAAACTGGGTATCACAATTCCTATTAATTGTAACACACAAATTTATTCTGCTCAAAAGATAGGCATCTATGCAGAACTTACCACAGTTCGTTTAGTGACAGTTCAAAGTTACAATGACACTGAACAAAGGAATTATGACCGGTTTTCAATGTTATGAAATGAGCATGTGATCAAAATTCAAATGCTTGGCAGCAGGTTCATATTTATGACCGTTGCGGTGTCCCAAGATCATGTGATCAGCTTTTGTGACCTTCTGACAAGCAAAGTCAATGGGGAACCCAGATTCACTTAACGACCGGATTGCTAGCCGATCAACTACAGTGATTCACTTAACAACTGAGGCAAGAAAGGTTGTTAAATGGGGCAAAATTCACTGAATAAATGTCTCACTTAACAACAGAAATTTTGGGATCAATTGTGTTCGTGAGTCAAGGACCACCTGCAATTGTAGATCATTGCTGATGATCTCTTTATTAAAAAAAAAAAAAAACTTCTGTCAAAACTTTATAAAGGAAGAAGTGTGATTTGACCGAAGGAGAGTGGTAGCAAAAAGCAAATTGTAGATGTGAGGAAAAACAAAGAAAGATATGCACTAGCAATCTTTACAAAGTTATAAATACTGGTTTTCAAATTTCATATTTTTCAATGTTTAGTTATTATCAAATTCAAGTTATTAATTCTTTCCAATTAAGATAACATGATGAAATGAAATAAAATTGAATGAATCCCAATACTTTCAGGGAGCTAATTGCATAACTAAAGCAATGGTTTTGTAGAAAGGTAAGATATGAAATAACTTTGCTGCATAATTCATAATTCTTCACGTACCTTGGTCGTTAGCCTGTGATGTTTCTGAAACATTAACTGCTAGCTGGCTGCTAAATGAATTTACTCCCATCATACCAGTATGAGCTGGAGTGTTGGCAAGTGTAGGAATCTGATTGTGGTTACGTGGCACACTATATAATGCTTCTGCAATATCAGCTGCTCGTTTCAGGATTATTTCCTATGAAACAGTAGATGGATAATTTTTCTAACATATAATATCATTTAATTACCTTATATTTCATTTAGCAAATCCTAATAAATAATGCCTGTGGTTATATCAGGCAGGATTACTGTACTCTTGGCAAGATTACACTCCTTTTAATTTACAAGTATTGTACACTGTATAGTAAAAATTGTATAATTTTCCAATAGTAAACCCAGGGTAGAAATAGTTTAAACATCTTGCTAGCGCTCTTAACATCTGTTTCTTTAAAAAATAAAACATTTCTTTTTGTATTATGCAACAAATCATTGTTTTGTTATTTTGTAAAACACAACTTGTGTTTTTATCTGGTGCAGCCTTTTTTAAAGCTGTGATCTGCTTAATTGTACCAATGTCCTTGTGCATCTCTTTGGCCATGACTGTATTTGCGAGGAAGACAATGGGGATCTACCTGTTTGTTGTGGGGCATGCCATATAGCAATAGCACTTAGACTTATATACAGGGGTGGGATTCAAAAATTCCAGCAACCGGTTCGCTGCCCAGTTGCTGGGTGGGCTTGACCTACCAGAACTTCCAGGAGGCTGTTTTTCACCTTCCCAAGGGTTTGGAGGCTTCCCTCGGGCCTCAGGGAGGGTGAAAATGGCCTCCCAGGCTCTGGATGCCCCCCAGAAGCTGGAAACAGACCATTTTGCAACTTCCGGTAGGGCCATTTTTCCCCCTCCCAGAGCCTCCACGTGGACCCTGCACTTACCTGCATTGAAAATGGGCCACGTAGAGACTCTTGGGAGGGGCGGGGTGGGAGGGGTGAGCCTGTTGGTTCAAATACCAGTTCAGCAAACCAGATGCAAATTTAACATCTGGTTCATTTGAACCGATCCAAACCGGTAGAATCCTATTGCTGCTTATATACTACTTCATAATGCTTTACAGCCCTCTCTAACATTTACAGAAACAGCATATTGCCCCCAACCTGTCCTCATTTTAATGACTTCAGCAGCATGGAAGGCTGAGTCAATCTTGAATCAGTGAGAATCAAACTGCTGGCAGTTGGTAGGATTAGCCTGCAATACTGCTTTCTAATCACTGTGCCATCACGGCTCTGTATACACAGCTTCAACAAGGCCAGCTTCATGTCCTTGGAGTTCCATGCCTCTCTCTCCATCACTACCATCTCTCTCTCTCTTTTTTTTATGTAATTGATCACATTATTGTGACAGCTGCTGCTTAAATAAGCAAAGTTCCATCATTCCAATGGTAGCCATTGCATGTTACTGAATCATAATCTACTCTACTGGTCCAATATGGGTTGGTAGATAGATGTTTTTCTATATCTCCACTGTGTACCTGAAAGTGATGGGCAAAAACTTCATGCAA